ATGAGCAGCAACTCTTGCTCCATTACCAACGCGGAGGTCCACCTCGTTCTTTTCCAATCTTCTAGGGCTCCTAAGCACCTACAACGAATTGCAAATATCAGAACCACAACCGTTATCCAATACCCATGAAGTCAGATTAGCACACGAATAATTTATCTCAATCAAGTAAATACTTGAGGTAGAAGCATCACCATGCTTTTTGTCCTTCACACTCTTCAGGTAGTCTGGAAAATTCCTCTTCCAATGGCCTTTCTTGCCACTATGGAAGCACTTAGCATCGCTTTTGTCCTTGGATGCATTCTTACCCTTCTTTTTGCCTTTCTTCTTCTTGGGTTTTTCTTTCAACTTAAGGGAGTCGCCTTTTGCAGGCTCCTTGCCCTTACCCTTGGCCTTGCTAGGCCCACCAATCAGAAGAGCTTGTGTCCTATCCTTCTTGATAGACACTTCAGCAGTTGTTAACATGCTTAGCAATTCAGGCAAGCTCACAAGCATCCCATGATGGATGTTGTAATTTGTAATGAATTGACTAAAGGACGGTGGAAGTGAGGTGAGGACTATGTCATTACTTAGCTCGACATCCATGATGAAGCCTAGATTTTCTAGCTTCTCAATGAGTCCGATCATCTTAAGAACATGACTGCTCACAGACATGCTCTCAGACATCCTACAAGAGAACAATTATCTAGAGGCCTCATACATTTCATGCCTGCCTTTAATATCATACAACTCCTTGAGATGCAGGATAATAGAGGGAGCATCTATATGCTCATGCTGCTTTTGCAGTTCAGGCGACATGGATGCCAACATAATGCAGACTTCCATCACATTGTCATCCATGTGCTGTTTGTGGGCCTCGAAATCAAATTCTGTGAACCCATCTTCCCCTTCCCTAGGAGCTACGGGCAATGCAGCATCTAGAACGTAAGCTATCTTTTCGGCCCTAAGAACAATTCTCAAGTTCTGATACCAGTCCATAAAGTTTGAACCGGTTAGTTTGTTCGTATCGAGTATTGAGCGCAGTGACAGTGGATTAGTCATACTAAAAACTGAAAAGATGTAAAGATAATTTAATTAATATATAGACATGTAATAAAAAACAAATTATTAAAGACTTTAAATAATTTGTCCCTCCCACTATTTTATCTAAGTTAATGACCCTTACCATTTGACTTAGGGTTAATCTACTTTTAGATTTTACCTTAGTGAGATTAAGAGTGCGATTATTTATTTTAACCCCCGTCTGTGACCGCAAGATTAATTTAAATAATGGGTTGATCCTTATCAACAGTATCGCATACCCTCTCTTAACATTAGGTTGACAACTCCTTGTCACTTAGTGGTGCATCTCATGCAACCAACCTAGCACTATTACCCTAAGCACATAAGCCCGGCTAAGCCTGCAACTTATGCCTCAGTTAAGCATTAACCAGCACCCTAAGTGTCTCACACATCTAACACTACTCTTGCTCAACGAAACAGTGGGTCTCAACTGAGTTGTGGAGCACCACTATTTAGAGGAGGTTTGAGTAATATTGGTGGTGGGAGGTAATCATGCGCTTAATAATTTATTCCTTTTAAGGGTTCCTTTTATTTAGAGTTTACTAAGTCTCATCAAATGCATATGTATGTTATCATGCTAGCCATAACCTATGTCAAACATCTATCGGTTTACACTAGTCACAATTGGACGTGCATAATAAGGCATACAAACGTGATTTGTCCAATTCATGCATACTAGACGTCTTAAGTCATAAAATCATACATTCATGATACACTATCTCATGCATACTAGTCGTACAAAGCATACAAGCATATAAAACACTTTTATTTGAGACAGTCATGGTGCTCGCGCATTCGTCCATCTTGCTTCTCAAGCCACGGCTGCTTGTCGTCTTAACGCCACTAGCCTAATTTTCTAATTACAAATAATTAAAGAAACTCCAAAACATCTTTGGAGGGACAAATGAAAAATTTCAAAATTCAAATTACACCTCTAATTTAAATAGAGCAAAATTACACCTTTAATTTAAAAATTTGAAATTCAAATTTCGGGCACCATGACCATCCCCTTCCTTTTGCACCTGAAAGGTTAGACAACTTTGCAAGCACAAGATATCAAATATCAAAAAACATGTTCATTCACACGTCTTAACATTTTAACAATTAAAATATTATTACAAGAATCATTATTCAAATTTTCTTAATTTTCTCTTAATGGCCGAATTATATAACAATTTTTATAATTCAAATTTTGTTAACTCTTTCTTAAAGAACACAAAATTAAACCATGCATGCAGCCATAAACCCTTTAATGGTCGAATCATATATGCATGTATATGATATATTTTGTCACAAAAATTCATGCTATGCTCATGAAACAATTCATGGAGAAAAATAAGAAAACAATCAAGGTACTCTAAGTACCCTTCATGGCCGAATCATCCCTTTCAAAAAGGTGTTTCCTTTGAAACTTTCACAAAGAAAAAGAAACAAAACCATGACTACATATAGATATATGAACATAGAAATCACATTAACAAGTTCATAAAAATAAAAAACTTTAACAATTTAAAGCATTGTAATTCAAAATCCATATGCAAAAATTCATGCTTTAACCCTTTAAAAATTTTTGACCGTGAAAAACAATTTTCACAAACAAGGTACCATCACCCGCCGATGGTAAAGCAACCGGGCTGTGATACCACTTGAAAGTTAAATTGACCTTGAAGGCCGAAGCATGTGAGAGGGAAAAACAAAATTTTTCATGCGGAATCACACATGCAATCAAGACTCATGCTTTAAGACAGCATGATGTTACCTTTGTTTGTGATTCAAACACCAAGGAGATCAGTGTAAGGTTTGAAGGGTTCAAACCCTCTAACGTTGATCCACACCACCCACGTCAAGATGCAAGAACTCTTCTTGAAAAGACACCAATTGATCACAACAAAAGCTTGTTAGGCGTCCAATGTGTGAAAGAGGAGGCTAGGTTAAGGTGTTTAGAAGGGTGAAATTTTCAGCTTAAAACTCCACAAAAGTGGCGCATGGATTTGATGATATATGGCTAGGTTATTTTTTAAAACCTCTTAAGAAAAACCTAACAAAAGGATGACCAAATGAGATGAGAGAACTATCAAAATTGGATCAGATTTTTCTCTAAAAATCTGACCATAAGTAGCGCACAATAGAGAGGAAAAATAGAGTTGTTGCAAAATCAAATCTTGCCAACAACCTCCTATCATATCCTCATGATATCAAGTCAATATCTTAACAAAAATCTGACTTAACAAACATCATATGGCAAGCCATATGGTGCGCCCAATTCAGCCCCAAAAACAGTCCAGATACGTTGTGTAGTTGCATTCAAATTTGAACCAACTAGCTTATTGATTCTCTCAACAAACCAAATCTGATTTGGAGCTTATTTGGTTGACAAGATGATACTCACAACAACCAATGTAGCGCCCCAAATTCAGCCTTGGATGTGATCAAAGAGCTCCTCTTGATACTAGGGATTTGTTCCAACAAGATCTTATCTTATCTATTTGTTATGAAATAACTTTTCATAGCCAATTCAAATTCGAATTCAAACGTTCAAACATTTAAATTCAAAATTCAAATTCTAAATTAAATTCTAAATTCAAAATTTAAATTTCAAAATTCAAATTCAAATTTCAAATTTCAAAATTCAAATTTCAAATTCAAATTTCAAATTTCAAAATTCAAATTCAAAATTCAAAATTCAAAATTCAAATTTCAAATTCAAAATTCAAAATTTAAATATTTGATAATTAATTTAACTAATTAAATTAATTAGTAATGTCTTGGACCATCCAAGCCCATTACATGATCCATGCACCTTTTTTTCCTTTTAGGTGGGCTTCCAAACTTCTTTTTGGGCTAACAACCATTATTAGGCCCAATACCTTTAATGCTATATCATCATGACAATAAGGTGTTAGTGTGTGACCCATTAGCCCCAACATAGCCACTGACATAAATGGGCTTGGGCCCAACAAGCCCACAACTCATCTAATGACAACACAGAGCACTAGCAATGCTTTGTTTCCCCAGAGCTAGTTAGGTTAATGACATAATCATCTTATTATACATATTTGGTTACCGTATGTATTTCCTTTCATCTCGATTACCTTCCCATTAAACTTAGGGTAAGGAAACGTATCAACCCTTGCGGTTTAGGGTAAGCTTTATTCGAAATAAGGAATCTTCAATTCACTGACTCTAAAGGCAGATCATCTCATGATCTCTTTTACTATGCATAGATTCCCGAGTCCCTGTAATTGTCATCTCGATTTTTTCGGTTTACAGATAACCTAATCTCTCACAGAGATTTGACGAATTCCTTCAGCTTATCACCCTAGCCCTGTGCTCTTTCAGGACAAGCTCAACAGTATACGTATGAGTCTCCATGTTTCAGGAAAACGAGGTATACAATCAAAGCATGCCTTCTAGAACTCAGTCTAAGTAATAACTTCTGGTCTAAGGAAAGACATGCCCAAATGTAAAGGGACTGCTCTAATGATACTTTTGTAAGATTTCCTCATAGAGTCTCTTTGTGGGTCTGTTCAGTGTGAACTATACCCTTATAGGTCCACCCACGACTTTAGCTAAGACATCTCCATATCTATAGCTCATGAGGTCTTTACCTTGCATCCGAATACAAGTAGATAAGTCGTGCTAGTCTTACACGAGATCACTGATCCCCATTCTCAGTGTCTCTAGACTAGGACCATAAAATTAGGAATAAACATCCAGTATCCTTGAATCCTCATGATCGTGATCTCATCACAGATACTCAAAAGATACCTATTTTATTCCAAGGGGTTCATCCAGTTACTCATATAAAATATTAACTATAATATTGAGACAAAATATGAAACAGGATAAAGAGTGCTTTTTATTTATTTGCGACAATATAAAAGGTCCACATATGTCCTAATCTAATCAAAAGATTGTCTCTAGGACATCCATATACTAACACTAAGTTCATCTTCTGGAAAGCATTCCAAAAGAGTATGTCGGCTGAGCTTCCGGGGTTAATGAAAATTCTCTTGACCCGGTAATTAACTAGCATCCCAGTAATCACTAAGCCATCAGTGTGGCTAGGGACGACCTTTTGAAGGTCTTCTTCAGTAAAAAATAACTTGGGGAGGTCAGGCTTACCAGCTCTTCCTTTGAAGGTAGGCTTGTCTCTAACCGACATGACCTTCTTTAGATATCTCCTTCTAGCACTCACAGTGTCACCTCCACCTCCCAAAGCACCGCTTATCACATTGCATTCGTACTCAGCCTCCTGGTACTCTTCATCGTTATCCTCGGCCTTTTTCCCTTTATTAGGGTGATATTGACTGCGGTCTTTCCTATCATCCTTTTTTGGGCTAGGGCTCCTGCTCTGGCTTCTCTGTCTTCGCTTGCCATTTTTCTTACCCTGAGTTCGGATAAGATATTGCTTAAGATTCCCTACTCTGATGTTCTTCTCAATAGCATCTCGGAGATCCCAGCAGTCATCCGTTCTGTGGCCATTCTGATCATGAAAAGCACAATACTTGTTTTTGTCCAAGCTGCCCTTGTTTTTAATGGGTCGAGCCCTTTCGACATTACGCATCTCGGTTTGAGCCACCTCTTTCCATATCCGAGATCTAGACATGTTCAGTGGAGCATAATTGTCAAACTTAGTTCTCGAGGAACGTTCGTCTGACCTCTTGTTATGGGAGTTGGATGCCTTCTTTGATCCTTGCCGATCTCTATCCTTACTTCTCTTGTTCGGACTTTGGCGGTTTGGGCTTCGGCCTCTAGACTCGTTGTAGGCTCTCTGCATGTCTTCGACATCGATATAGTTATCTGACCTCCGTCGAAACTCCTCTAGGTCGTTGAACGGGTTCTTGTAGATGGATCGGGTCGTTGATCAGTTAAATTTTGTACCTTGAGGGCGGCTTCCTTGAAACAATCAAGGTATTTTCGTAGTGATTCATTCTCCCTTTGCCGGATTCTTCCCAAAGCATAGGCCGACATAGGATATGCTTTACTGGTGGCGAAGTTTAAGCGAAAAGTACGAGCCAAATCCTCAAATGAATCAATTGAGTTTCTAGGCAGCCTCGTTATCCACGCCATTGCCTGACCTGTCAAGATCGTCACAAAGATTCTGGCCTTGATAGGTCTAGTTATCCCATTGAAAAGCATCTCTGTCTTGAATGCCTCCAAATCGGCGTCCAGGTCCCGACTTCCGTCATAAGGAGGTATTTTGGCACTTTTGAACCTCGGCAGAATTGCCAAGTTCATGAGCCTCTGGGTGAACAGACTGTCATTAGCATCTTCTTCATGGAGATATTTATCTCCCTGGTCGTTGCCTTGAACTCCGTTTTCATGCTGGTTCTCGTTGTGAACACCTTGAACCTGTTCAGATGCTAGGTTTCAGCGTTCTTGCCCCTTAATTTCAGGTCAACCTTTAGTAGCGGGCCGACCTTCTCTTCCAGCTCGACCTTCAGTGTTATGGTTTCGCAGCTCGGCTTCCAGTGCTTCTATTTTTTGAGCATCCAACCTCGGTGGATCTAGGAACTTGTTCTCCATCTCTTACATCCTTTGAAAGATTGCATTCAGGGTAGTGTTAGCTATGTGATCATCAGTCTAGTTTATTCTATGGTGGCTGACATACTGACTCTGTCACAGGGTTGCTTCGGGTCGTGATATACAATGACTCAGTGCCAACCTCTCTGACCTACAGATCCACCAAAATCGGGTCGGCGAGCTCTTGAAGACGCTCTATGGAAGACTGATGCGGCGACTGGGGTTGAGCATTGCTGGATGTAGCACGAGTGTTTGTCATCGTGGAATGGGAATCGAAATTTATCGTTCCCCACAGACAGCGCCAATGTTCGGTCCTAGTGAACTGTAATGATATATTGTATAGTATGCGCTCAGCGATATCTTAGAGATAAATATCTTGGTTGGCCTATAGCCAAGCTCCCAATCACTGCGCACTAGCAATAGGCTTATAGCTGAGACGTGGGTGTGTGTATAGTGTGGGAAAAAGTAGTAAATGAGTTCAGAATGTCTGTACCTGGGAGTCTTAAGCCTTGTATTTATAGGGGTTACCTCTTGGGCTGTGTACATCTCCCAGTTGGTTATAGGATTCAACTACTCAGTTTTAGGGGTAGGGGTTCTATCCTCCTTATCTTGACTGTTCCATGCTAGTAGCATAATTGGGTCATTATCTTTTAAAGGATTCTTGGGTAAGTAGTTAGGATATGGATAATATTCCATAACAATACTGTTGTGAGACATATGTTAATCTCATTAATATAATAGTTTTTTTCATTTAGCTTTATAAATAAATTTGTAGTTTTCCTCGAAGTTGAAGCGTAACCCGAGTGCTCTGAATTCTTCCCAATGCATAATCTTTTTCTTCTCTCCCTTGCAATTGATACAGGAACCTTTTTTTAGCACAATGAGTTACACGCGCCTTTTAAATAATGTAATAACATGTATTTTATATTATTACAAAGGAAAATTATTAATTTGGGCACAGGTTAATTATTCTAACAATTTTAATACAATTCACGTAAAATAAATAAAATAGAAATAACAAATAATAAAAAGGATTAATATTTTTCCATGAAATAAAGGTATTTCATACCAACCCAAAATAATGTAGTTGTGATGTTAGAGAAAAAAAAATACAGAGAATTTTAGTAAAATACATGATACAAAAGACAAATGAAATTACTAAAATGTCATGTGAGTTATTAAACTTGGCACCATAATTGTTTCAATAAGAGTATTGTGTCATTGTTTTAAAAAATATATATTGAGTCGTCAACCAATTAATTGTTGATTGAAGGAAAACGTATTTAACCACAATTAATTATCTATGATTATAAACATGTGGCAAAATTCTATTAAGCTCTAAATCTCCTACGCTAACACACATAGAGATGGTAAGATAAGTGTTACGATCTGAGAGATCGTGAATGTCCAATCAGAGATTGATAATTTAATATTGGATCTGTTTGCCCTCTCTGAGGTACCTATATGTGAGGTACCCTAAAGATAAGCGGATCACTGTGCACTATAATATAACGACATAGTCAAGGCGTGGGGTGTGTGCACAACGATAAGCTAAGAGAGAGGGTTTTGAGTGTGTGTACCTTATTGGTTTAACCCCTTATTTATAGATGGGTTACCTGGCAAGAGTGGACTTTTGGGCCTCTTAGGAGTATTGGGGGTCCAATTGTTAATCCATTGCTATCGTAGTAGGATTAGTATAATTAAGGAATATTTCCTTAATTCCCTCTTAGCTGTTAGCCCTATTTGGGCCTTCTAGAATGTGAGCTGCTTAGCTGTCTGGATAGGATCGTCATTAATAGAAGATTCCCTTCCTGTTTGTGTTGTCCTTTGTTGGACCTTCTAGAATATGGGCCTTTGTTAAGTCCATAATAGTTGCCCCTCCGCCCGGTAGTTTGGTTGTCCAGGCTGCTAGGGTGAATTGTCTTGCCTTTTGCTTCAGGTTTTCTACTGAGCTGAGAGCGTTTGAGTTTTTGTAAACTTTTTGCATATATGTTCCTTACATCTCAGGCTTTTAAACTGGGGTCCTCATTGCCCCTTATCTCGGCGGGTTGATCATAAACCATGGAGAATATTTTACGTATTCTTATACCGAGTTTGGGATGAGCTTGAGTGGTTGGGATCCAACTGGCGAGTTTCCCCCAAGCATCATTCCATACGCACACGTCCTGAGCTTGTAGCTTTCTTCTAGAACCGGGAATGATTTTCCGTTGTCAATTATGTGGACGGGTTATGCATGAACCCGGCAAGATATTCTGCATGTGTAATTGGGTAACGAATATGCTTGAGTAGTTGGGTTCCAACTGGCGAGTTGCCCCCAAGCATCATTCGTATAACCCGGATAAGAGTTATCGTATACTTGCATGTAATAGCAGTAATCCTTGCATTTGAATTTCAAGTTAGCAGTCGAATTCTTGCTTTGACTTGGCATCTTCATTGAAGCAATTTTCTTTGGGTTGGAGCTTTCCTTGGCCGACTTAATTGGGTTAGCAATTGCAGTTATTATCTCTGTCATTCATTCAGCCGGTTTTAGTGAACCGAGTATTGAATATGTTATTTCCGTATTTCTCCCTCAACCTTTTTTGGCTGAGATGGTGCTTTGGTGAGGCAGTTTTTGCCTCCTTTCAACATCGAGCTCGACTTCTCCTTTCGAGGCTTTCGCTTTGAGCCCAACTTCTTGCACTATGGCTTTACTGATTCAGATTTAGCTTTTCAGCGTTAACTGAACAAAATGACCTAGTCAAGGTCTTTCATTCGGATTCTGCTTTTTGCTTTTAACCCAAATTTCTTAATTAAGTTTTCAAATTTGAGGCATCATGGTGACTTGATCAAGGTCGTACCAATCTGCCCTTTATTTTTCAAGCCTGATTTCATTTATCACAGCTTGTACACATTTTGTTTATTTTGACAACATTTAGGATTCAGAAGCGTCCTTCCGTTTTCCTATGCCTCGGCTAGAAGCCACAGTCCTGCAGTGTGCTTTTTTATTTTTAACCCGTTTTCTATCCAGGTTCTTGCACATCGCTAGACATAGGTTTCCAATACCTTGATTTTTATAATATTGGACTCGGCTTCTTGCCAGAGTGTCATTTTTTTTACTTCGCCTTATTTCGCCATTTTGACTTGTGAGCCATTTCAGATTAGGGTGTGATCCTTTTTCCAGATCTCATCTCTCTAAACCCATTTTTATCCCAGATTTTTATCCTGGGTCTTTATCCCGGATTGGGGTGTGATCCTTCTTCTAGGATCCCATCTCTCCAAACCTGCCTTCATTTTATCGTAGATTGGGGTGTGATCCTTTTTCCAAGACCACATCTCTCCAAATCCGGTAGCCTGGGTGTCCGGGGTGCATATCTGATAGTATGAATGTTTTGTGAATGTTTTATTCTTAGTGCCTAAAAGTCGGCCATGCTCATGGTCCGAGTCTTGTTTAGCCTTTGTTCTGTGATGTATGGCTTCAACTATCTTGTCATGTTGAATTCTTACTTTAGACATCCTCATTTGCTTTCCTACCCGGTAGTTTGGGTGTCCAAAGCGAAGTCTGTTGAACCATAATCTTGTTGGTCAAACTTCTATGACCAAGGTCTCTATATAAAGTAGGAAAGTTTTTCCCTTTAACTTTTTTGCCGAAGTTTTATTGATTCATTGATCCATGTTCTGAATTCATGGATTCTTGTCGATCCGTGTTTTGCATTTATTTTTTCTTATTTCGTTCTTTCTTCGATGTCGGGCTTCATGAGCCGGGTACCGTGTATGCTATTTCAACCTTCCTCCCTCAACCTTTTTGGCTGAGGTACGTAGCTCGGACTAGTTGACCAGTCTTTTTGACTGTCTTACCGAGATCTTGAAGTATGAGGATTGCTGCTTTTCTATTTTAATTTTGGTTGCATTCCTGCACTTGCCCCACAGTCCGGCAGTCGGGAAATCTGGGTTGTCGGGCTGTATTACTTTAATCCAAGCTGCGTATATCGGAATACCGACTTTGCCTTTGAAATTTCTATTTTCTGATTTAGGGATCTTTGAGCCCCTTTTAACTGATATTGTCGGGCTTTGCTCCCGATTCTTTGCATGTTTCGTTTGCAAAGTTGAATTTCTTGCTATAATTAGCCCAGTTTTATATACTGTAGCTTTATTTATTTGAGCTCGGCTTTGCTAGAATATCGTTGTGATATTGTCTTCTGTTTCAACCCGGCTGTGCATACTGTGTCTTTCACAGATTTTGACTTGATCATAATCATTCACCTTTTTGAGTCCGGC